ATCGTTGGAGGTAAGGAGAGGCAGTGGACTGAGATCGATAGGTACGGTTCGCATCGATAATGTTTTGAGGACGACTTCATCTTCGCACAGCGATCCATCTCATTCGATCAGCCGATTCGAGCATCAGTTCGATCCATCACTTGTCCGACCAATCCAAAGCGGTTCCGTTACCGCTCGCTGAACTTTTTTGTAGGTATGGATCCTTCCGGCATTGATAATTTCTGGTAGGTATCCGGCACAGCGATGAATGCGGCTAGGTAGGATATGAAAGGAGGGGAATGGGTTCGCTATGGTAAATTTGGCACTTAACGCTGGATAGGGGCCTGGATGTTTTATGCTACTAGGATTTGCAACCGACGACTCAAGAGGCTACAAGATAGGTATATGCTCATTCCATAACGAGGTGGCTGCCCATATGGGATAATTGCCTCGAATTTTCGGATGCTGGGTTATGTTTAGTTTGGCTTGGCCTGGGAAGGCGATAGGATGACTTGGGGTACCGATCGAGGGATATCGGATTTCCCTCCGCGATAAAGATTGGAGTCATTCTAGGCCACGGTGTCTGAAGCATACCGACGAGACTGAGGTGTGATTGGTTTAACGATCTGAATTTCGACTGGTTTGGCATGTTGATCATAACTCGCACAAACATACCTATCAAACACCTTTTTGCCCGCTGTCCTGAAGAACCACCCCCTCTTTCAAAGATGATGCGAGCGCACTCTCCTGGCCTGATCAACCAGTCTCGCGTAATACTCGATTCACTGATTCAGCCATGCATGGTAGCTGAGAAATACGGGATTGCTTTTCATCCACTTTCGAATTTCTTTCCTGGGAGAACATACAGTGGACGGTTCTTAGCCCAGTGTTCAAGGACAGTGGAGGTAAGTACCAGATTGCAGATGCACGACTGGTCGAGCTCTTGGAATCTTGCAACCCGACTATGATGCTTATGAATCCAGGACCTGTTATGGGCCGAGCCGTCTGGAGCACAATGCAGGCCGTGGAGGCGAAAGCGAAGCCGGACGAGCAAACTGGCCTCGAGAAGAGGATGGGGGGTCAGCCGGCTATAGCTCTGACGGTGAAGACGATGACTCGGATGATAGCGACTCTGTTGGTGATTCTGTTGGTGCAGAAGCCACGCTCGATCTCAACACGCTCGCTCGTAGTGGCGGCAGCAGCAACACCATCTTTATTGGCAATCAAATGTCGCAACTGATAGCCTTAGACCGAGAGTAACTCTCCCTCTTAACCACTGCTCCAGACAAAAGCTTGGTGTTGGGTGGCTCCACAGCAGGCCATGTGCCCAAACCAGGGTGTGCATGTGGCCTTAGCCGGTCTGGAGTGAGTGTGAGACCGAGAGTGACAATGGCCACCAAGCCTGCGGAAGCAGAGCATAATTGCATAGGACCGATCGTTCCAGAATATTGATGTACTGAGCTTGGATGTTAAGGATGCTGTTAAAAGCCAGGCGCATCAGTATCAAAGTTCTTGAGAAAATAAATCGCCCACTGAGTGAGGAAAATGGTAGGAGTATGAGGACGGCGTGGGAAGTACGGCATCATCGTAACGCTACCTTAGTGCTGTAGGTAGGTAGGTATTGAACAATAACAGTACTCTGTGGTCGCTGGCACACATGTAGTAGATCTAACACCAACGTATCCTAGCACGGCAGCATGCAGTCGCAGAGCAAGTCAAGACCTCGCAGAAGGTTTCTTGGGAGGTTTACGGCACGGCGCCGTGAACCAGTCTTCGGGCACGTATGTACTGACTCTGTGTCTGTACTCCTATGGTGGAGGAATCTAAATGGATGTTTGGATCTTGGCCGCTGCATACCTACATACCACCATCATGCATGTAGGTAGTTACTCCGCACATTGATGAACAATCACGACGTTGACATCATGTGTTCTGCAAGAAAACGATGACTCTCTCATTCTTCCCAAGGTTTGCGAACTGTGGGGTCTCGCGACTCAAGGACACGAAAATCTTCGGGCTTCGCGAGCGTCAGCGTGGCGTTTTTCGCGCCGAGGGATAGATCATAGCCGGGAGTGGGATAGATCTAAGCATCTGCGGTTTTTCGCTGATCGTTGTCCGAGCACGAGATTCCGGAATCCGGACCAAGATTATTGTGGAGAATTGGGTAGGTAACACGAGTCCTATCAGCATCAGCGAACGTCCACGTCAATTGTCGTTCAGAAAAAGCCGTGTCTCTTCTTTCCAAACACATGCTCTTTCTCAACCTGTGCATGTTTCGCCGCAGCAATGAAAGCCTTGGTTACCATCCTATTCTCCACACAGGAGTGCGCCCCCACCATTCTGTTGAGAGATGAGCGCAGCTTGTCGATAGGCCATCTATCGATAGATCTAGGTGCTGGTGGCTGAAACAGCGGCGTGGTGCGGGCAAAGCGGGACGTCGGTACCGGTAGGCATCCCTGCTAGGTACTGCATCTTTTCCCAGCCTGCAGCCGCAGGCCGAGCGGTGATCCGCCAGCCACGTGAAATGAAGTCATTTCGTTTTAGTTTCAGTCAAATGTAACGTATGTGACATTACAGCCTTCTCTTATTCGTCGGTCGCGGCTTATATTACCTTGGAGGGATGGCCTTGGCGGGTCCGTTTTGGAGGGGCCACTGGAAATAGGCTTTGAGTGGCATTCTAGATGGTGAGCTTTGGTCAAAGGAAAGGGCGGGGCCTTCTTACGCCTTGTTCGCCCCCCGGGGAATGAGGCATCAGAAGGCGGCCTGGCGGCTAAGACAGCGACAGCGACGTGACAGCTTTGGTGCAATGCAATGAAACGAAAATGCACTTGGACTCGGTATTGAGGAGTTTCTAGAGCGTACCTACGCGCTCAGATGACTAGACTAGCTAGGTAGGTGACTTGGTAGCGAAGTGGCGTTCAACAGATTCGGGTAAGCTAAGCGTCCACCTAAGTTTCTGCTACTAAAAATCTAGTAACATTTTGTACCTACATTAGCGTCAGGCACACTACTCTCCACATCCTGGTGGTCGGGTGTCGGTGTCGGGTGTCAGCAGGAGATATGCAGATGCAAAAGCCAGGTGCTGCACCATTCCCCCCTCGCTCTCCGAGAAATGCGGGGCGGAGAGTAAACGCCATTGTAGTTAGAAGAGGCTGTGGATTTCTTGGGAAACGCTTGGCCGGGCATGCTGCGAACATTCAAAAGGATGGGCTTGCTCGTGTGGTAGATGTCTTTCTTTCCCTTCACGCTTCACCCCGTTCAGTCACTCTTTACACAGTCGTTCTTTGCCCATTCACCCTCTTTTTATAAGCTCTGGAGCTATTCACTCACTATACTTGATTGATTCATTACGTTACCACAAGCACCCTCAACACCAAAGCTCTCCTCACGATCCCTATACCCACCTCATCATGTCCAAGGTTTTCCAGACTGGCGCCCTTCTAGCGGCCCTCCTCTCCAGCGTGGCCGGCCACACTGCCGTCGAGAAGTTTGAAGCTGGAGGTCAAACCTACGAAGGTTTCCGTCAAGCCTCCAAGCAAGACCCAGGAAACCAATCACCCGCCTGGTGGACGAACCAAGGATGGGGATACCAGCCCGTATTCGGAGACAAGCTGAACCAGTACGTCCGACCATCCAGACACTTCCCCCTTAACCGATTAATCAAATTACTAACTTGACGCCCCTCAACAGCCCCGACATGATCGCCCACATCGACGCATCCCCCTCCCCCTACACAGCCGAAGCCCCCGCCGGATCCGATGTAACCTTCCACTGGCACCACTCTGGAACCTGCGGCGGCGGCGAAGAAGGCTGGGACTGCTCGCACCACGGCTGGACCGCGACCTACCTAGCGGCCTGCGACGGAGACTGCAAAGACGTGGACAAGACAGCCCTCTCCTTCTTCAAGATCCACGAAAGCGCCCTCATCGACTATCGCGACGGACGCTTCTCGAGCGGCAGCCCGCAGGCGCAAACGGGGTACTGGGGCACCGACGCCATCTTCTACGACAATGGCAATGCGCAGAGTGTTACCATTCCGAGCCAGATTCCCAGCGGCAATTATGTGCTGAGGACCGAGGTCATGTCTATCCATAACAATGGGGGTGTGGAGAATCGCCAGTTCTGGCCCCAGTGCTTCAATATCGAAGTTACGGGCGGTGATGATAGTGCGCCCGTGCCGGCTGGTAAGAAGGCGACGCAGTTGTATTCGGCTGATGATGAGCTGTTGCAGTGGGATCTTTACTGGCATGCGTCTGGTAAGACGTTTGAGGATGCGCCTGGTCTGCAGATGGCGTCTGTTGCTATTGCTTCCAAGGCGCGGAGGAGCCATGCTAGGGATTTCTCTTCTTGAAAACATAACATTTTGTGATTCTGGGTGGGCGTGGGCATGATACTTTGGTTAGAGGCTTGGACTGGTGTGTATAGGGTCCTGGGAAAAGGGTTATCAGGTCATATGGTTGGGGAATTTTCTTTTCTTTTCCTTCTTGGTGGGGTCGTGTTGAAAACACTCTTTTCGGTAAATACGATCTTTATGATGCTGAACTTGCATGCTCCGATGCATGGTACTACAAATAGACTTATGATACGCAATTCCTTCGTGTTATTCCGTCGCGATTTTTTAAGTCGCCCTCCTTCACCAGTCTGTGACTGTAGCCATGTACCACCCTCGCACTGTGCTAGAAGTAGGTAGCACCTTTAATGACCAGCCATACTCTCTCAAATACAGCTGCAACCTAAACGCCGTCCACAGTATCAGTATCATCAACGTATAAAGGCAGCCAGAGGACCACACCACCGACTTTGATCAACGTCGATGAACGAGAAGGTGCAAAAGCGAACAAGGGCATACATACGTAGATTGACCACACGAAAGGAGTAGGTTTAAATAAGTGCAACACCATCATTTAAGTGTGTCAAACACATACATACCCAAAGAAAAAAAAAAGCGAGCCACTTCAGCGCCGCGAAGAACAACAGCACCAAAACTTCGAAAAAATAACTGCATCAAAAAGATTGTTTTCTGCAACAGCCGGGACTCGAACCCGGAGCCCGAGCATGGGAAGCTCGGATTTTACCCTTAAACCACTATTGCGCAATGTCATTGTTCAGGAAACATTCAAATTTAGAATTTATAACATATTGTGTTTTTATATAGCTATTTTGAGTAGAGCAAGCAGAGGAAGAACGACGACAAAAGAGTTATCAATTGATCGGGGGACGCGAAACAGTCTAGATCTGCTGACGGGAGAGGAAATGGTGTCCAATAGGGGGACCGGGTGCTAGCTATACCTGCGGGTATTTTTGCATGCGGGGAGGTTTTGCGCTACCTACGCCAGTTAGACGTCGAATCCCCAAAAACCCCACACCTAAACTGCTAAGGGTGGCAGTGAAAAAGCGCATGAAGAGCGCAGAGGTCTTTATATCGATAGTGCAGTTTTACTCAAGACGAAATGTTTGTGTTATATAGTTGTGTTAGTATAGACATGCTTATCTTGTTGCATCTTTTTAAATACGCACCTTGAGAGTCTGAACAGCTAGGTACCTCTTGGAAAGCGAATGGAGTTTCTACCCTACTGTCCACCGATTGGCTGTCTATCAACCTCGTCAACTAGATACAGGTAAGCGATGGATTGCAGGGCTGGGCTGTGCAACTGCTGACATGCTCGCGTTGCTGTTGCCGCCTACCTAGTAGGTAGATTTACCGATTGATGGATGGATTAAAATATTGAAATCCTTCAGACCTCATCCTTAACTTTGTGATACCCACTTCGTTCTTTAACCCGCCATATACCTAGCGAACCAGATACCTACGCCTTGCTACCGCCCTACCTATCATTAAGAAATCAGGCACCCACCCCAAACATGCCCGTAAACGAAGCAAACGTAGCCACAGCAGCGCTAGCCATCGCCATCTCAGCGCTAGTCATCGCCCTGGGCCAACTCATCGCGCAATTATTTTCAACCGCAGAAGGGTACCGGCGGTGCCAAGCCTCTGTCATCGGGTCATGGTTCGATTTAGTCGAGCTACCATTTCGCTGGTGCGTTTCTATCTAGATAATATGAACCCCTGCACCCTCCCCCCCCCTAAACCTCAACGCCAACAAAATCAGGAGCTCCTTCCGCTTCGAAGTAAAAGTAACAACGCCGCACTTCCAAATCGAAACAATCTCCTCCCCAACCCCAAAACTATCCTTCTTCAAGCGCGCCCAACACCAACACACCGGGTTCCCACGGTCTCTCTTCCAGAACCAGACTGCCCGCTTGCTAATCCCAGCACACCACCCCGTCCCACTAATCGGCGACTCGAAGTCAAGAAAAGGCACGTTTTGCAGACCGCTTCCTGGTCCAGATGATGGTGAGGATGATGATGATACCGAGGGTGTCAATGCCACAAGACCGACTTCACTCGATTACGCGGAAGACGCACCGACATGGATCAATCTGCTCGAGGACATGCACAAGCTCCAGCACGCCCCACTAGCCAGCGCCGCAGGTATAATCGAAGGCGATACGCGCGCAGCAGTCTGGTCTCGCACGCTCGTGTGCATCAGCCGCAAAACGCGGTCGTGGGATTTCATGCCCCCAGATATTGTTCGCCCCGTTGCGAGCACGACGCTGGGGTGTCTGATTGTTATGACGCATCGGATGGGCATGGTGTGGACGGATTTTAGGCCCGAGGAGGGTGTTGTTCGTGCGGCTAGTAAGACTCAGAGCTTTTCTACCTCCTTGGTTAGGGGCATGGGGCTCGTGGTGGAGTATGCGACGATTGGGTCGAGTCCGTTGAGGTATGATGCTACGAGGATGCCTACTGCTGAGGCTGATAAGGTATGGCTGTCCCTTTATTTTTTGAGTTTTTGTGTTCGGTGTAGGTGTGGGTTTGGGCTAAGATTTACTGTAGATGGCGTGTGGTATCATTCCCATGTCGAAATTGGTAGCATTGGCAAGAGAGACGGATGATTTACCGTTGCGGAATTCGGACAGCACCTCCGTGGTCGATCAACTGGCGCCTACGCTCTCTATTCTCCGCCTCATCGGTGTCATGGATATAAGAGGTTGTTTGCAAGAAAGTATCTCCCACCAAGACCCGACTCAACGGCTCCCGGGATTCGCAGACATCCTAGGTCTCTGGTGCGATTGGTTTTTCTGCGACGACCTAGGTTTAGATGCAGTATATAACCCATTCCCATTTCCGGTTACGACGATGGGTCAAGCACCCGAAAGCAGAGTCGTATGGCGATGGCTGTTGAAACAATCATAACAAAAAGGCACATTGTCGGCCACGCAGCAAAGGACCCTGCAGTTCTATGATCAGTGGGAACAATCGGATAATTTTTATGAAGCTAGCACGTCGCATTACGGAGCGAATAATACCGGCTTCTTCAAAGATATGTTCGACGAAACGACGCGGTATTTTTTACAGCTCGGTGCGAATGCGTACGTGGAACTGGTACGGAGCCACATCCAGGTCAACGCTGGTTCTCTTGAACGTGCGGAGAAGAATATCAAGGATGGCAAAGAATGGAATCCACCAGGGTTGTGGAAGACGTCCAATGGATTTGAGCGCAAGCAGGGCGATCCCATATTCCAGGCACGTGCCTTTGATTACGCAGAAAACGCACGTAACGTTGTGCGTTTAACTCAGGTGGTGTTGGGGGTTCCTGCGAATCACCCGGTTATAGATAAGGGTGCTTGGGGGATGCTAATGGTGCGCATGCAGGCGTGGAGTATGGGTGTTAGGATTGTGGAGAGGGAGGGTGTTAAGATTCCGACTGAATACTATAATAACCCCTCACGGGTGTATATTTTGTGAAACTGGCGATGTAAATGGGGCTGACTTTGTACATGCCTAGATAAAACATCGTCAGCAAGTAACTGCTACGTTACGGTCGCGTGTACCTGCGCCTACCTCTTGATTTTGTAATGAACATCCCCCAAGAGTACGATATCCAAGCAAGCGCACAAAGGAGAAGACGTGAAACAGCGTCCTTGACTCCAGCTGCTACTGGCTTTTGGCCATCGAGAACAATATCATCATCCAAGGTCATAGTGGTATCTCTGTTCCCGCAATTATCGTGTCGCATTCGTCATCAACCATGTATCTCCGTCACACCCGCGCTCAGTCCAGCCCTGCGGACGGCGGTGCTCTTCCCCCAACAGCCTTCTTCGCGCCACTACCTCCACCTCCCATACCACCGCCGAACATGCTACCCAGCATGTCGAACATGGGGTTGCCTTGCCGTGGTATCTTGATGCCAAAGTACATTTCCCCAATCTGATCCAGCGCCTCGTTCCAATTGACGTCCTTCAAATCCCCCGCATAATGGCTCTTCAACTGCCGCCACAAGCTCGGATCGCCCCTCTCCACACTCAGAAGCAGCAAGCCCAGAAAGTTGAGCAAGGGTAGACTCGGGTATACGCGCAGGTCGGAGGTTTTGGTGCTAACCGGTTGCGTGGGCGGGTTCGGCGCTTTTTGCAAGCTCGACGTGAAGAGCAGGAAGAACTTGTTCGCTGCCCGTAGATTTCCGGTGAGGAGGTAAGGAAGCACGCCGCGCGCGCAGTATAACGGGGCGGTGTGGGGTGAATCGGACGTGTACCATGCGTAGTGGAGGGAGGCGAGGGTGCTGGCACTGTCCTGTGTGCCGAGGAGGAGATGCCGTTCCGCTTCGTAGGGTTCGAGATCTATGTCGTCAGCCAAACTATTTCTTCGCCTTTGCGGTAAAAGTCGACATACCCTCAGCGTACAAACTCCCAGCAACATGATGAAGCTCCGGATCGCCCGCCGGAAACTCACCAAACCGACTGCTCCATCCCACCATCTCACCCACAAACTTCTTCTTTGTCGGCTCCTCCTTCGGGAACGCGCGTAGAAGGCTCAGTAATTTCCCTTTCGACGACGCATCGACCTTGATTTCCCCCTTGTTATATACGTCGAGTAAGAAGATGCAGAGATCGCCGCCGGAACCACCTTGGCCGGCTTGGAGCAGCGAGAGGGCGCCGGAGTAGAGGATTGAAATAGCGTTGGGCCAGTCGGAGGCTTTTGTGTAGCGCGACGCGATTACGCGGAGTTGCTGGTGGGCTTCGTAGTATTGGCCTTCTGCGATTCTGGGACGGGCGTGTTAGTGGGGTGTCGAAATGGGAGGGGGAGGGGAAGGAGTACTTTTCGCGTTGGCGCTGCAGAGTTTTTTCTATCTTGGCCGACATGGTGGGTGGGGTTGTAAGAGGTAGAGGTAGGCGTAAGCTGTGGTTGTGATGTATTGAGTTGCGCAGGGTCGAGTAGAGTTCAAGATGCGATGACGCACCGCACGGCCGGCTGCTTGGCCCCACATCATACTGTCTGCTTGTTTTGTGAGCTGCTTCACATTATACACATGACCATTTGGAATGCATGGATGGAAGCAATGGATGCATCGATCCCTTCATTTTAATCCTTTGTCTACATTGTGATGCCTATCAAACGCTTCCTTCACATATCACCACTAGCCATGCTATCGCCTACACAGTACGCTAAGCAGGCACAGTCTTCTCCTTAAAGACAAACTATACTACTCCTTAAGCGTCTTTATTAATAGCCCGTAGATCTCTATGTATCCACGTAAATCCATAGACGCAGACGGACGAAAACTTTTGAGCATGTCATGTGTCTCGAGAAGGCAAGTGGGTCTAGCAAGATGCGCCAAGGCAGCTAGGTCAAATCCACCTTAGCGCTTTCTTCACGGGATTGCCAGGTACGCGTTTCACGACTGCCTGCATCCAACATCAACCTCAGAACAAAGTCTGACATACATACCACCGTCGTGATACATAGCAAGCTTGCAAAGAATACACTCCACAATTCCAGAACCCTAGACGCATAATAGGCACCCGTCATTATGCCTTCAGCCGTAGACCCTGAGGATGACCTATGGATAGCCATCAAACAAGTAAACTTCATCTCTGCGCGGGCTGAAATTGATCAAGTACTGACCTATAACTAGATCTCTCAGTCATCTGTGGGCTCGGACTATATTGATCAGTTAATTCCCATCATGAAAGATCCGCGCTATTCGAATCAACTGCAATTCACATTCGATCGGTATGCCAACGATCGCGAAA